CCAGTCTTTAAACATTTTCTACAAACATATTTGTTTGATCATGCTTTTGTTCAACATTTAAATCTCATTTCTCTGCTCTGCCATGTTCCTTTATGTGAAAGGCGCTATACAAAAACAAGTTGTGGTTAAGAAACGTATTAGCATGTGCAATGCAAGCCATCAAGTGAATGTCATATCAATTGGTTTCTAAATGCATCCGAAAGCCAAACCTTTAACATTTACAAAGTTGACGTATTTCCCTCTGTTTAAATTAGATTTGGGAATTTAATGTCAAATCTTGCCAGAATAATCCAACATAATCCAGATGTCAAGAACAAACTTCTCTAACAAACTTTTTGCTCTACAAACTTCGTCCAAACTATTCAACCAAAGAAGCAGCAGTAATCCACAGCTAAGCTGTTATTAAAATGATTATCAAAAGACTCGGTCAGGCTGCCTCATTAACATGCCTTCTGGAAACAATCACAGCACATAACGTATTAAAAGAGAACTAAGGAGCAACCAGACATTGTATCTGAGCCGTTTTGTGCTTCTGCTTTGAGATTTGCTGGATGCTCCTCACCACCAAATGCATTTCAGTGAAAGGCCATCTTTAACGTACATGACACATAATGAGTTTGTTTCTAGGGCACTGCGGAGGTGACATTCACAGAAATGTCTCCAGCATCACAGAAGCTATGCACTAAGGCAAGCTCTCCTGGTAGTACACTAAATAGTTTTGACAGTATAAATTCAGCCCAGGCCTTAGAATCCTTTTTGGCTCAAGTGAAAAGTTCAGATTTTGTCACATAATGTTAAACAAGATGCTACTCATTAAATTCATGCTATGATAAAGTAAGACAACACGACAACATCATGTAAAAGCCCCCACTTCTGCATAGTTAGAGCAATAAAAAAACAACTCAAGTCTGGCGAACGTGTAAAATAATTGTCAGATTTCAAGCATAAGCTATTGGCTTTATTGTGTATCTCCTTCTTTCTCAGGATGAAGAAGAATCCTTCTTTTATTATTTTCAGGCTCAGATTGGCATAAAAATATAAATTGTATTTTGACTCATCTGGAAACAAAATGCATCATGAAACATTGCTCCAGCTATATTTACTACTAGTCATTTTGGTTGTTTATGTCTTATCCTCGGATGAATGATTCAGCATATTCTCCTCTATGCTTCCATTCATAACCTTTCAATAAAATCTACGTTTATGAACAGTGCAATTTAAAGCTGCAAAACCATCAAAAAAACAATTTCTTCACTGAGGCAACACAGTGAGAAATAGGCTTTAATCATAAACACACAATAAAAAAAATGCAACATTATCCTTTTCCAGATGAAAAAGTGAAGACTATGAGACCAGAGGCTGTGGTCAATAGAACCAGCAGCACATTTCACACTTCCAATTATACACCATGTGATGCTGCATAAAAAGGATGCACTACAGGTGGCAGAAAGATTGTTTCAAGCCCATATAAACATTCAGAACCATCTCCTCCGGTGAGATATTCATTATTGCATTCAATTGCTATTCTAACATACGGCAACATGGCGATCAAAGAAAAGTCAAAGCTTGATCACTTGTTACTGATCTGCAAACTGCAGCGACAAATACTTAATCACCTATTTTGCAGTCGAGGTTTTGTACTTGAAAGTCCTTAAAAGTAGGAAAGCTAACACCAACCTATCTTTGTTCAGTAACAGAATCCTGGCAACAATACCCAAGGAGATCAGCATGGTTACCACCATTGAACAGTACTGTTGCTATGCTGTTCTTAACATGGAGGATGGGAGGAGGAGAAGGGGTCTTCAACAATAACTCAGGAAGCAAAAGCGTAAGAGAGAAAATGATTATGATCACACTCTTGGTCCAACTGACCTATCCTTGATTTGTGCAAATGTCTCCACTCAGCAAAGGTTCAATTACTTAAGAACAAAAAGGCTATACAAATGTAATTTTGTTGTTCTTCTTTCCAGAATTTCTAATACATATGCAAGAATCATATCATGCTTTCTCTATTATTCCATGATAAAAACTACAGACTGTCCGATTTCATTAAATAACAATATGTAAGAATGTTTTAATAGCTAGCCCAAAACATGCTTTATGAAGGTTAGAGGTCTCACATATTTCTGATAACTTGGAGCTACTGTAAATTTTGAAGGCAGCTAAATCAGTAATATCACTTTTGCAACCATATCATTGTTATTATATTATGTGTGGTAGGAGAATTAGCTAAATTCCAGATCCTACATATCGGAGCCTTAAAACTTATTTAGCCAGGCAGTAGTTTGTTTGGCTAGAATTTTGGCTCGCCGCAAGGGACTCTCTCTTCCTGTTGTTACTCAAGTAGTAATCTACACTATGTAAAGGAGTCTGTGAATGAATAATGCTAGACTACCTTACCTAAACTGTGCTTTGTTCTTTGAAGAAAATATATTCTTCAGACACCCAGCTGTCTGCCGTACATCCCCTCAAGGCCTTAGAGGGACTTAAGGCAGGAGTAATGCGGAGTGAGAATAATATTTCACACATACACAGTTCTCTCTGATTACCTGCCTCAAGCCTTTGCAGAGTCTACATCGATTAAAGGAGGAATAATGATGGGTAAGAATAAGATTTAAGACAAAAATAACATGAGAACCATTATAGAGACCTGTCTCATACTCTGATATTGTGATATCACAACAGGTATATCAGCTTCAGGGGAGACAGCACTCTTCATGGATTCTTAATGTTTTGTGGAATTCGCTCTACGCTGTGTGGAACATGTCTTCAATTTAAACATTGAAGAATTAACTCCACGAAGGTACTCTTACTTTTCTGAGAATTAAACCTTGAATAGAGTTTTCACAACATCCTAAAATATTTCCTTCACTTCTGCTGTCCCTTCACTCTCCCCTTTCTAATTCTGCCTGAAGACCTCTCTCTTTGACTGTACTTTCAGCCAAATACCTACTCCCTCCCAGCCCTTAGCTCTCTCCCACCCAGAGCTCCCACTCACTCTCTGTAAAGCTCATTGAGACGTTCTCACAGTGTGAAAGGTGCTGTATGAGGACAAACTTGTTCTTTACCCTTATTTGACAATGTATTTTCTTCCATTTCATTTTCCTTCAGGAACCCCAGTTAAGAATTCCTACTCTGTTTTTAAACTGGCACCCAGAGATGGGTACAATTGGACTTTGCAGGATGTCAAAATATCAAAAGGTCACAAATTGTGATGATTTATGAAACTGGAGGCCTCAGCATTCCACTGTGCAGTGAGCCAGTGACATTGGCACTTTGTACAAGATAGCTGAGTGCAGCCTGAGAGAATTGAGATGCTTTTGCATTTGTGAACGTAGAATTTGCAGAGCTGTTTTGAATCACATATCACAGCAACATTGATATACAAAAACCAGTAACGTATTAAATAAAAAATAATATCCCTTTGCTAACAGACTCCAATATATAGTATCCGTTTTAACCCAAACCTCCTCCCCGAAGGATCTTACCGAAGTATGAAAGTTATTCTAATAAGCAACCTGACATATGTTAATACATGCTTCGCTTTATATACAAGTCTATTTGAAGAGGGACATGATCTCAATTAAACAGGACAAAACATTACTGAACTTTTTTTCCAAAAAATGTGATTTGATATAGCTACAACAGCAACAACAACTTGGATTTATATAGCGCCCTCCACGCCAGACGGCATCTCACAGCACTTTACAGTCACGGATCCCGGAACCGAGCCAGGGAGAGGGGGAGGAAAGCGAGGTCGAAAAGAAAGGTCTTCAGCAGAGACCTGAACATGGGAAGGGAGGGAGCGAGATGAAGGGAGTGAGGAAGGCAGTTCCAGAGCCTTGGGGCAGAGTGGCTGAAGGCATGGCCACTGAGGATGGAGTGGGGGACTCGGGGGACGAGGAGGAGGCCAGACCCAGAGGAACAAAGGAAACAGGTACTGTTTTGAGAAGAGAGGAGGTCAGAGAGATAGGGGGGTGCAGAGGAGTGCAGGGACTTGAATACAAGGGTGAGGATCTTGAAATCGATCCTCTCTGGGACAGGCAGCCAGTGCAGTCTGGCAAGGACTGGGGTAATTGGGGAACAAAGTTTTGTGCGGGTGAGAATGCGGGCGGCAGAGTTTTGAATGATTTGGATTTTATGAATGGTAGTGGATGGGAGACCAGCGAGGAGGGCATTAGAGTAGTCCAGCCGAGAGGTGACAAAGGCATGGACCAGGGTTTCAGCGGCTTTTGGGGAGAGGTATTGGTGGAGACGGGCGAAGCGTCAGAGGTGGAAGAAGGAGGTGCTGGTGAGGGACCGGATGTGGGGGAGGAAGGATAATTGGGGATAATAATTATCTCTGCAAATTTCAATGTTGCTCACAGAGCAAGTGGACTGACCCTTTACCTACCACAAGGGAGAAATTCAACCACATTTAGCTTATTTATGTAGCACTGCAGAACATCCAAAATCTTGCAAATTGTTGAATTCAGTCAGTTTGAGGTCTGTTTCCTACAGCTCTTAAAAGAACTTACTGAAAATCAGCTTTAAGATTAAGGCTGTGTTTAGAAATTTTTGGGGCTTTCTAAAATGCTACATAAATAGTGCAAAACTAGACCCAAATGAAATTCCACCCATACAGTGGCGTTCTTCCTGCTACTTAATAATGCAGCAATCATCCTGGCAACCTTGGTTTGGAGACAGTGTCACCCAGTGCTTGGTTACCATACGATATAGCCTTCCCTGATTTTGGATTTAACTTAGCTAAAGCTACACAAAACACTTAGGCTCTACACGTGTCCATTTGATTTGCTCTCTGGCCTTTATCATTGCACTCAGTTGGCTTTTGGGAACAATAATTAGACTTTTTTGAGCACCATAAAATATGATGGCTTTCTGTATTCCCAAGCGATAATCACGATTTGTATGTTGAAGCTGAACCCACTGAACCCAATTATTGTAAATGCGATCCCAATATCTACTTTTCAGAGATGCAGAAGGATGAGTTCACTACTCACCTGTTTCGGCAAGTGGAAGAGGGAGTTTCCATAAAACATACCCTTCGCCTGGCTCCATGTCCCGTCTATGATAATGATGTTGTATGGGGACAGTGATGGGTCAAGTTCTAACTCTTCCAGATTATTTGCCTCTGCCCCAGGATACAAGATTAACGTGCTAAGGCTCTGGCAAACAGCTCCGAGTTCAGGGTGTCTTTAAAACAAACAAAGCAGTCATTATTTTTACATTTTGTTTAACTTTAAAAAAAAACGTCTAACACCTTATATATATAATAAACTATGTTTCTGTGAAATTCAATTCACTTGATTTGACAGTTCCACAATAATAATAATCCTCTTTGTATTTAATACGGCACCTTATCACTTCGAAACCCCTCAAAGTGCTTCACTTTCTATGTATTTGTAGGCAAACATGATAGCCAATTTACAGAAATGAAAGTGAGAAAATTAAACTAATTATTAACTAAACCACAAGAAATTGAGAGCACTGCACTTCAGTTCTGTAATAACAACAGCTACTTGCATTTACATAGCACCCTTCACATGGGTCAGCGACTCGGAGTGCTTACCTGGGAAATAATATATATATTTTCCAGATTTCAATTTTATTTCACATTGCATTCATTCCACTTGGAAGCAGAAACATTTCCAGTGCAAACAGAGCTATAAAAAATCCTTTGGTGCCACATCCCAAAACCCTTTTAAGATTAAAACAGAGCCTGGGAACATTGCACTGGATAGGTCTTGTCAAACATCCATAAAGTGATATTCAAACAATTATCTTCAGGGATTAAGGTAGAAATCCATCTCTAAAAAGGAACATTAATATTAACAGCCTTACATCTGGTGCCAATTTATTTCCTCCCAAATTTCACTGAAATATGAAGCTGCTATGACATTTTACAAGATGATGGAGGAATGTGTTCTGATGTAAACAGTGGGGAAGATCACACCACAATTAGTCTAATATTAAAATTTCAGATTATACTTCCTTCTATTCCTAACCAATTATAAAAATAATAATTGTTACCAATCCGATGTCCAATGGTGCAAAGTACAGCATTTTGAATAGCTGAACAATATACCATCAAAAGTGATTGAGAGTGCCACAGAGGGTTGAGTTGGCAAAGCCACTGTCAAAGTGAAATTGAGAAAAACAGATTTCCTGAATTAGCTGATTGCAGCCAGTTTTGTTATAGGGCACTGCAACTGGTCTCAGTGCTCCAGTGAGCGAGGGGAAATAAGTAAGACCGGGTCCCTGCTCACAGTCGCTATTCAGTGCTCTCTACTGGAAAATCCATGTGTGTAGGTAACAGAAGAGGTTAGTATCAGGTTTGGCTGTTGTGTCCCTGTTGACATTTGGGGTGGGGGGGGGCGGGGAAGTTGAATAAAAGTTCAAAAAGATGTAAAGATCAGAAAGGACCCTTAGCAACGTAAAGTGAGTTTTTTACAAGTATCTCTTGCAAGTCACAGGACTTGAGAGCTCCTAGCTATGAGACCACCTTTGGCTAGAATCAAGGTTCCTAAAAGAAAATGACCATTTGGAAAAGTCTTGAAGGAAGGGACTGCCTCCTGCACAAACAGACCTCATCATGAGTCAGTGGCTTCAGGAAAACAGGGGAGAAAATTGGGAGAGGAGGGAGAAGATAAAGTAATCTGCATATGATCGTGACTTATCACAACAGTGAGCAGTTTGGGGTCCAGTTGATGGAACTCAGCAGAATTAGGCTATTCATCTCGACCTCTCAGTGATGAATACAGAATTATTTACCACATTTCATAATGCAATGAAACATTATTTATTGTGGGAACTATTTCACTAATCGTCTCACATCACAAACTCAGAATGGTGACATAGTCTGCAACCCATAAGAGAGTAGTTGACATGATATAATAAGAGTCCTTGCATTTGATATAGCGCTTTTCAAGTCTTCTCGACGTCTCAAAGCGCTTCACAGAATAGACTGTAAAGTGTAATTGACCGTATACTTGTGGGCAAAACAAGGCAGCCAATTGCGCACAGTAGTGTCCCACAAACAGTCGTGGATTGAAAAGGATCAATTTATTATTGTTTTGTTTTGGAGGGATTATTATAAGGCATGTGGAGTAAGGAAACTTGCCCAAGGTTTCGCCCTGCATGGAATTGAACCCAGGTATCTCGCTTGCAAGGTGAGTGCTCTAACCACTGAGCCACAGGACTCCACAAGGATTTTTGGCCAATTTTCTGGGGAAAGTTCTTCGTGGATAATGCCTGATTCCCAAAAGTATTGAAGCAAAAACTGCAGAATATTCATCTATTCTCATATCTTCACTATAGCTTTACATGCAGTTTCTGACAATTTCACAATTCAGGCTCACTATCTTAGTACAAAAGTTCGATGTTAAACCTTTTTTGAGGATTATTTACAAATGCGCAGTGCAATGATATAAATCACTTTGAACAGCATTCTTCAGACAAGACATAAGTCTGACCAGAATTATAGAGGGTCATTGTGGCTTTTCTCGTTCCCTAAACAAAGGTTTGCCAAATGCAGCTTCAATAAGGGAGTGCCCCTTAAAACTGGCATTAGTACATACAGTGGGACATAGAGAAATGGGAGCAACTTAGACTTTACTAAAACATTTGTTTTTGATATACAGTATATGGTAAATTCAAATGTTATCAATATTGGAAGTACCTCTGTACAAGGCAAACCCAATCTGTTAGTCTTAGTCTGGAGTTCAGCAGTTGTAATTTTGGCGTCACAATAACAACACTCCACTGGGAAGTTACACGCACAATCGTAGCAGTAACAGATGTGCTTAGTAATTATCTTCACTCCTGGTGTGTGGCTTACTAGCTGACACTACAAGTATATTGTACAGTAAATTCAGCAGTAGGCTTTGTTTTACAAATGCTAGTTTGTAAAGAGCCAGAAAAAGAAACATATAATCAGGATTCTTTTTAAAATATAGTTGAGCCCCATACAAAATGAATTATAAGAACATAAGAACATAAGAATTAGGAGCAGGAGTAGGCCATTCGGCCCCTCGAGCCTGCCTCGCCATTCAATACGATCATGGCTGATCTTCAGACCTAACTCTAATTACCTGCCCTCTCCCCATATCCCCTAATCCCTCTATTTTTAAAAAATCTATCAGTCTCAGCCTTGAGATGTTCAAGGACTGAGCATCTACAGCCTTCTAGGATAGTGAATTCCATAAATTCACTGTCCTCTGAGTGAAGAAATGTTTCCTCAACTCTGTTCTAAAAGGCTGACCCTTAATTTTAAGACTGTGACCCCTGGTTATATATGCTCCTACCAGGGGAAACAGACCCTCAGTGTCTACTTTAACCAGCCCTTTAAGAATCTTATATGTTTCAATAAGATCTCCCCTAATTCTTCTGTACTCTAGAGAATACAGCCCTAGTTTATTCAGCCTATCCTCATAGGTCAGTCCCCTCATCCCAGGAACTAACCGAGTGAATCTACGCTGCACCCCCTCTAGGGCAAGTATGTCCTTTTTTAAATAAGGAGACCAAAACTGCACACAATACTCCAGGTGCGGTCTCACCAAGGCCCTATACGGTTGCAGCAAGACTTCCCTACTCTTGTACTCTAAACCTTTTGCAATGAACGCTAACATGCCATTCGCCTTCTTAGTTGCTTGTTGCACCTGCAAACTAACTTTTTGAGACTGGTGTACAAGGACATGCAAATCCCTCTGAACACTAACACTATCTAATCTCTCCCCCTCTAGAAAATAATCTGTTTTTCTATTTTTTCTACCAAGGTGAATAACTTCATACTTCCCCACATTAAATTCCATCTGCCACCTACTCGCCCACTCCCCGAGCCTATCTATATCCCGTTGCAATCTTTTTGCATCATCCTCAGAGCTTACTCTCCCACCTAGTTTAGTGTCATCCGCGAATTTAGATACGTTACATTCAATGTCCTCGTCTAAATCCTTGATGTAAATTGTAAATAGCAGAGGCTCAAGCACTGATCCTTGTGGCACTCCACTAGTCACATCCTGCCAATTCGAGAATGACCCGTTTATCCCTACTCTCTGTTTTCTACCTGTTAGCCACTCTTCAATCCATGCTAATATGTTCCCATTAATCCCGTGGGCCTTAACCTTGTGCAATATATATTCTGTGCCCAATTGGCTACTGCATTTCACCCCCAAAATATACAGTCAATTCACTTTACAGTATAGGAGTCCTGTAGCTCAGTGGTTAGAGCACTCGCTTTGCAAGTGAGAGACCTGAGTTCAATTCCAGGCAGAGGGCGAAACCTTGGGCAAGTTTCCTTACTCCACACGCCTAATAATAATCCCTCCAAAAAACCAAAAACAATAATTAAATTGGTCATTTTCAATCTACGACTGTTTGTGGGACATTGCTGTGCGCAATTGGCTGCCGCGTTCGCCCACAAATATACAGTCAATTCACTTTACAGTGTGTTCTGTGAAGCGCTTTGGGACGTCCTCCTGACGTGAAAAGCGCTATATCAAATGCAAGGATTATTATTATTATTATTATTATTATTCTGTGAAGTGATTTGAGACGTCTCGAAGACGGGATAAGGCTCTATATTAAATGCAAGGATTATTATTATTATGAATTCATGGTAAGGCTTTGCATAATCTATGAAGTACAATCCACTTTTACCGACCAGTCTAATGATGCTTTACCAATGTGACACTGTCATTTAAATGGAATTTTCACAACTGATCCAGAAGCTGTCATGAAGTTAGGGAAATGGAAATGAAGCACTTTCCTGTAACCTTTCCTTCATTTCACACATTGGATCTATTCTGGCCTTGATGTTAACACCACATGGCAGAAGGTGTAAATGAGCATGGAGAATTGAGAGTAAGCTGTAGGCCATGGCATTAAAATACTCTTATTTCTCCTGCTGGCATTGTATCAATAGGAATGGGAAGTTTGCCAGTCAAGAGTTTGCAGCAGAAAGCTGCGCTGTTTTCGCTGGTTAAACTCAAACAGTATTCCAACACTTAAGCATAGGCTCCCAAGTCTTGTGTCCTGGCAACCTGTACCTAATACATTCTGGGATTAGGTGAGCAGGGTGGGTCCTTCCAGGGAGAGAGTGCACTCTGTTTCAGGCAAACAAAAATTTCCATGTGTATGTGTAACTTTCAGTAGTTTGGTTTGTGCTCTGAGACTCTACCCTGCGTGGAAGGCGT